GACATCCATAGACCTGACAGACGCATACTTCCACGTACCCATAGTGCCAGAACACAGGAGATTTCTGCGCTTCGCAGTGGGAGAGAGGAATTACGAGTACTGCCGTCTCCCTTTCGGGTACGCTCTCGCGCCTCGCACTTTTTCCAAATGTGTGGAAGCGGCTCTGGAGCCGATCAGACGTGCCGGGGTAAGAATATTGACCTATATAGACGATTGGTTAATACTGGCCCCATCCAGGGAAGTGGCCGTGAGCCACACGCAATGGGTCTTGTCCCACATACAGCGTCTGGGCTTTGTGGTGAACAGGGAGAAGAGCAAGCTGCAGCCAGCCCAACGCATGATTTACCTCGGTCTGCAGCTAGACTCTGTGATATTCCGTGCTGCATTGTCCGTGGACAGACGGACGAATATTACCCGTCTGGCCCGGGAGGTTCTGGCGGGCCCCAGAGTTCCCGCTCGGCGCCTCAGGTCCCTGCTGGGGATGATGGCAGCGGCTCATGCTGTGGTGCGGCTAGGCCTGCTCCACATGGGAAATTTTCAGAGGTGGTTCTCGCGCCTCAGGCTTCACCCCTCCCGGGACGGGGGGAGGCTGATCTGGGTTCCCCAAGGGGCAGCATCGGACATCAGGTTCTGGCTCACTCCGGGTCTACTGCGGGACGGAGTGACTCTGGCCTGCGCGGTGTCTCACGCCGAGGTGTTCACGGACGCGTCGCTCGAAGGATGGGGCGGGGTCCTCGGCCAGAGCTCTGTAGGAGGCTGCTGGTCGGACTCAGCCCGTCACATCAACCTGCTGGAGATGGAGGCAGTGCACAGAGTACTGCTGCACTTTGCCCCTCAGCTGCAGGGGAGACACGTGATGGTGCGCTCAGACAACACCACAGTGGTCTCCTATCTGAACAGGCAGGGGGGCACCAGGTCCCCCGCTCTCCATCGCATGGCGACGGTGACGCTGCTGTGGGCGGCGCTTCACCTCCTGTCTCTCAGGGCGCGCCACGTCCCGGGGGTCCGGAACGTGGGAGCCGACAGGATGTCCAGGGGGGGCCCACTCCAGGACGAGTGGGGCCTGGCCCCACGGGTAGCCGCGGAGATCTGGCGGAGGTTCGGTCGTCCAGTAGTCGACCTTTTCGCCAGTGCAGAGAACGCACAGTGCCCGTCCTGGTTCGCCTTAAGGGCCGCGGACGAGCCGCCTTTAGGCGTGGACGCTCTGGCTCATTACCCATGGCCAGGCGGCCTGTTGTACGCTTTTCCACCGGTGCGTCTCCTGCCGGTCCTACTGCGGAGGATCGAACAGGAGAGGAGGTCGGTGATTCTGGTGGCTCCGGACAGCCCGCATGCCCGGTGGTTCCCCTTCCTGAGGGGCATGGCGGTGATGGAGCCCTGGGCCCTCCCGGACGAGCCGGGGGCTCTAGTCCAGGGGGCAGGAGCCCTGTTTTCACGTCCGATAATCGGCCGCAGGCTCTGGGTTTGGAGGTTGAGAGGCGGAGCCTCGTAGATCTGGGTCTTCCCCCTGCGGTGGTGGAGACAATTCAGGGAGCGAGGGCGCCGTCCACCGTGAGGGCCTACGCCACGAGGTGGAGGCTATTCAGTGCCTGGTGCGATTCCCGTTCCTGGGATCCCAGGTTTTGCCCGCTGGAGGGGGTCCTGGGATTCCTACAGGAGCTTTTCGACAAGGGGAGGGCTGTCGCTACCTTGGCGGTGTTTGCGGCAGCCATTACTTCAGGTCACGACGGGTTCGGGGGGTTCACAGCCCGCTCTCACCCGTTGATTAAACGTTTTCTGCGGGGGGCGCGCAGGAGGAGGCCCCCGCTCCAGAGAACGCCTCCGGTTTGGGACCTCAGGGTGGTCCTTAGGGGGCTGTCGGGTTCGCCTTTTGAACCGGCGGCGGAGGCGAGTCCCGATTGTATCGCTTTTAAGACGGCCCTCTTGCTGGCGTTGGCGTCTGCAAAAAGGGCGGGCGATTTGTGTGCGCTCTCAGTCCATGCGTCGTGCCTGTCCTTTGGAGAGGACGACGGCATGGTGGAGTTGTGGCCCAATCCGGCTTTTCTCCCCAAGGTCATCACGTCGGCCTTTAGGTCGAGAGTGATCAGGATTAGGGCTTTCCACCCGCCGCCGCATGCCTCCCCCGAGGAGGAGCGGCAGCACCTTCTGTGTCCTATCAGAATGCTGAGGCATTACCTGGCCATGACGTCGTCATTCAGGTCGGGTGATCAGCTGTTTGTGTGTCTGGGCCCCAAGAACAGGGGCGCCCCGCTGTCGGCTCAGCGGCTGGCGCATTGGGTCGCCACGGCGGTGCGACGGGCGTATCAGGCGCAGGGCCTGGCCCCCCCGGTGGGTTTCAGGTCGCATTCCACGCGTGGGATGGCGGCCTCTACGGCCCTTCTCAGGGGGGCGTCGGTCGAGGACGTTTGCCGTGCGGCTTCTTGGGCGTCGTCCTCCTCTTTCGTCCGGTCTTATCTTTCGGATGTGTCGGACCGGTCGGTGGCCCATTCCGTGCTGAGTGCAGCGGATTGAGTTGGACCGTTGGGTCCCTCCCCTGAGGAGTGGGCTTTCGGTCTATTTTTCCGCCCTGGTGCAGGAGCTCTTGGGAGAGGCATCCTACAGGTGCGGTACATATATGTGTGTTTGATCGGTCTGGTAGTCTACATCAGGAGCTCTTGGGAGAGGCGTCCTGTGACTACGGTTGACCTACGATTGGTGTTACGTGGGGGCGTCCTTGGTAGGAGTGGCCCGGTAACACGCTTTGTTTCTTCTGCCCTGAGTCCTCTCACGGTGTGAGGGTCTTGCTCGGGCGGAGCTCCAATCACCCTTCGCTGGCCTGCTGGGAGTACATGTTCCTACGGCCTCCGCGTTGTGTCCCACTAGCGAAGTCCTAAGGGACGTAGCACCATGACGTAGAATTAATAGTTACCTAATGTAACTTAAGTTCTACGAATAGGTGCGTAGTCCCTTAGCTACGAGCCCATCAGGCCAGCCCGGCTTGGCAGAGTTCAAGAGGGGGTGCGGCCTTGTGCAGGGGCATTTATAGAGGAAGGTGGCTGGTGATTGGAGCAAATTATTTTGATCTCTCTGGCGTCTGTGACCTGGGGGTCACGTGATATCCCACTAGCGAAGTCCTAAGGGACTACGCACCTATTCGTAGAACTTAAGTTACATTAGGTAACCTATTAATTACGTCACTCACATTTCCTGTTCAAATCTTCCTCTAAATGGGCGTAGCCTGGAGGACTGAAGGGGGCGTGAACGAGACTGGGCCGTTTATATTGCTCTGGGCGGGGGGCTGCTGACGTCAGGTCCAACTTGCAGACGTCAGGTCCAACTTCTGTGCCAGTGTTGGCGCCAGATTCAAAATTCAAATGTAGTAATACAGGTTGCCAGCAGATGGCGCCTCACAGACGGTTTTAGGCAGAAAGTTTAACTTTCAACTAATTTGCACCAAAGTGAAAAAACTATGACCAGGATATGTAGACAACACTATTGGACACTCATTTAAATCGTTTATCAGCAAAAAAAAGTGGATTTGAGGGTGAGTTGTCCTTTTAAGAAAACTATTATGTATTCAGTTTTAATTATTATGGTCCCAGCTGGATTTGTCTGCATACTGTATCTGGCAACCTGAGTCAGGGAGAGTGGGAGAGGTTGCAGTACCACTTATGGCCAGATTTTTACATACTGCATAACCAAACCATAGGGAGAAGAAACAAACTATGACAGTTTTTATCTTGTTGAATAACACCTGTTTTAAATGTAAATAATTGTTTCACAAAGATTGTTGATAATTTTTTTTGAGTTTTGACCAATGTTGCCATCTCTCTGGTGATGTCATCATTTACAACCAGGAAGTAAAACGTATACAATAAAAAAATATGGTCGGCACTAGATCATATACGGAATCGGGACGAAACTGGAAGTAACAATCCTACTTTCAAATTAGTTTTAGACTAAAACGTCCTTAAGTGGTGACTGGTTAAGTTTTAGGCGTCTGAGTAAGATGGTTAAGGTTAGGGTTAAGGCTGGGTTGGGGTTATTTAATGGGAATGGCTGGTTAAGGGTAGGCATTAATAGGTAGTTTGTCATTTACTTCCGCTTCCGTCCCGATTCCGTATATGATCTAGTGCTGACCAAAAAAATATGGTCAACCTGGGATGAAATTTAAAAAGTATTTAGAAATTAGTTTAAAATTCTAAATTTCCAACACATTGAAACAACGACGACATGATTCAGCAAATGTAGTTTATTTTACCTTTTACAAAACAACAAGAGTACAAAAAGTCCACCAACATTTTTAGTTTCTTTCGTTTGCCGTATGCGTGAATCCCGCCTGCAGCGATTGCCTCTCACTCCGACAATGAGATGGGGGGGGCCACGAGATGCAACGTTTTACAATCAAACTTTTTATCGAGAAGCCTGCCACATTTGGACACAGTATAAAAAAAACAGACACTTCTGACATTCTTAGCGGACACAAGGGGGCGCAAGTCTTGTGGAAAACCTGCTCATTTTGGCATAAAGATCCTCCCGCAGTCCCTTTCTCCTCCTCTTCCAAACGTTGTGCTTCGAACGTTGTTGTTTTGCCATGACAACAGAGTGCAACAGTAGATACTGCGTCCTTGCAACACAAAAAAAAGGATACATTTGGACAGAAAAGGTTGGCACATTCAAGAAGACATGAGCTTTTTTTCTTTTCGCCATAACATTTTTTTTTTTTGTACAGTTTCTTTTTTGAATCCTCATAAATACAATATATGTCTCTTTGCCTGTATCCCACAAAAGAACAGTACAGACAGTATTTACAAAAGAAGGCTCAGGCCATTAAATAATCAGCAATACTAAAAACAACATGTAAAGTCCGCGTGGGAGTGTCTTTTCACAGCCGTTTTCCATTCAAAAGGAAATGTTTCTTTGTAGCTTTTTGTCCTGCTATGCTTCCCGTATCCGTGCGGGAAGATGGAGGATGGTGCTGCTCAGGCGTAATAGGTCCACTGTCAAATGTGCCTGGGTCCTTATCTCATTTCCTAGAACAAACAGAAAGATTCAAAAGATGGATTTATTGTATGTGACCTGGCTTTGAAGACATTACGGACTAGATATAGACATAGACCTGGCGTGTTTCCGTCTGCTTTATCTAAGGCGTTATTATATAGTTTGGTGGTGGTGGAGCAGTGAAATGTAGATGTGAGATCAAACGTAAGAAAAGGTCAGATAATTGAATCTTAAAATATGTTGTCAGATGTGAATAACAATATTACCGTATTCAATAAAGGGTTAGAGACCATTGTGTAAGAAAAAGAACCAACACAAATGATGTAATTTTGCAGGTTCGAGGACTGCATTTCTTCATTAAAAACATTAAAATCACACACATACAATAAAAAGAGTGTTCTTGTTTTGTACTTTTCGTTTCCTTGTGTATGAATCGTGCTTTACAAATTAATTTCCCTAGCCTAGATTCCTTAATTAATAAAAACCAGTTAGGAATGTACGTTTTGTGTCATGACTTTTCGCTGCCAGAGGAATAACTAACTTGTGCTGAATTTAACTAGAGAGTATTGATTGAAGATGAAGGTATTTGTGATTTTCTGATTCATAGATCTAGAAGAGTCTAGACATTCAAATGCCACTATCTTCAAGCCGCTGAGAAATATACCCTCTTGAGGTCGACCTTTTAGAGTCTCCCCATTGTAGACTTGAGAAAGCCATTCGTAGAACTAGAAGATAAAGGGCTGCCCCCAACCCAATTCACAAACAAAGCAGCTGCACACGGCCCCAAGACTCAACCACCAATAGATAAAACACACATTATTTTTCATTCATGTCTTTTTTAACATCATTGTGTTAATTCAAGACGTCCCAACTTGAACCTAAAGCTAAGATTTGAGTTATGTTTGTTTCTACGTTCCAACTAAATGAAAACATTGTACCTTTGTCAGAGATTTAAGGTGGAGCCGCTAAATGAATGCATTTCAGAGTGGACCCCTGAAACAATGTAAGCTCGGGGCCATGAAGAGTAGGAGCGACTCTGTGAGTACAGTCATTAGACTCCAGTATTTAATTTCATGTATTCATCTGGTTTATGAGCAGACTGGGCCCTAGTGTTTGAAGGATGCTCTTTGGCAAGACTCCTCCATTACAGTAATTACAATCTTGAGACGGCTCTTAGCATTAATGATACCCTGGCACCATCTACGTTTGCAGAACACAATATTATGAATGATTCAAATGACTTTTGGTCATTAAACATAATCTTGAGTTTGCGACCGTAATGAGTGCAATTTAACTCGACATACCGGAGTCTTACAGATTCAACATTTTCAGCAATGTGTGAGGGACAACTGGAGGAAATGTGTGTTCAATAAATGACCTTACCGCTATTAAATGCACCCATGTATAAACCGCACCAGCTACATTTGAAAAGAAAGTAGGTTTGTCCACATGCCATAACACACTTTAATATAAGCTGCAGGTTTTCATGTTGTAGTGTAACACTTAACCAACAGCTGATGGAGCAAACCAAAGAAGATCGACTGTTTTAACTGGACACAACATGATTTAATAACAAGGTGTTTTAATGTTCTTTTAACTTGTTAAGGACACAGCACTCTGGTAACTCTAATCTATTTTGACAATAAAAAATCCAACTAAAATAACACGTTTATAAACTCTGTTCTGCATGGAGTTTATGAACCATCACATAATCAAGTCCTGTGTAGTGCACTTCCTTGTCTCTCTCTGCTGTTCACATAAACACACTGAAGCAGGAATGTCCAAATCTACTCCTAACACTGTACAAACAACATACATTAGCTGCATTGCTCTATAGGCAGCAGAGTTCAAATAACCTATCCAACAAGTATTCTTTTTAAAAATCTAAAGTAAATAATATACTTTTAAGGAAATGAAAATGTAGCTGCAGAAAGTATAGATCTGCACTTCAGTTGGTGATTCCAACAAAGACACAGTTCACGAAATTGAATTGCCCTCATGTGTATTAGTATCCTTAATTACTGCTGCCAAAGAAGTTTTTTTTAAACTCGGAAATAGTTGGATTTTGTGCTTTTCTAGTTTAAAAAGAAATGCTGAAGGTGACCACTTTAGACATTTCATGAAAACAAATGACACGATTAGCCTCACACGACCTCTCAACATCCCAATCCTTCTCTTCCCAGAGCAGATGCAACAACAAGATGCCTCCAAACGGCCTCCTTCCTTATAACCTGCAGGGGTCAAAGGTCACCAGATACCCCAGGAATCCTCAGTAACTTAATCCAGACTTCCTGATTCTTCCAAACACCGCGGCTTAACGACCGAGGATGTTGCGCTTTCAAGTCCCAAAGCCAGGCGTGAAGAGGCTACGGCGGGTCAGCTACAGAGGTGCAGACGGCCGCGACGGCAGGGGGGCAGGAATGGGACGGGGGGAGGGGGGGGTCGCGCGTCCCCACAAACCGGAGATACAAGGAAACTCTATGCCACTTTGAAAAGAGCGATTGTGCCGTTTTCACAAGTGCTTTTGGACATTCCCTGTTTAGACGTTATGGGGTCGGGGGGAGTGGGACCTCTGACACGCCGCTCGTTCCTCATGAAGTGGCTGCTTTATAGCCCGGACTTACGAGAGCTGCGGAGACTTCAAAAGCAGCGTTTGGAGGAGGCTCGGCTATCGATTTTCCATGGAATTTCTTTTTTTGTATTTTAGAGGGGTGTTTTTAGCGTTCATAGCCACAGAAAGCTGTTACCGATCTGTCTGATGGGTGAATGCGTCATTTTGGTTTTGGGACTTCAGTGCAATTGACTCCGCCATTCAAAAGTTTGGGGTCGCTTAGAAAAAAAAAAATCAAATAAGGGGGGGAAAAAAAATACACTTGAGGCAACAAGTAAGTGTGCAGCTACCATGAACCATCAACTCAGAGATTGATTCGAAATACTTTGTAAGCATGCTTTCATTTCATTGCGCAGTCATTTTAGAATTATCGGAGTCATAAAACCTCTTCTAAGCTTGTTGAAGTACAGACGTTTTAAACCCTTCAGTTATTACTAAACTAGTTTCCATCGCAGTAATCGTTCAAATATTTGCGATCAATCGATTTAACTTAAAACAAACAAACATGAGATTTCGTGAAACTCTCGTGAAAATTATTGAGTTTTATTATGAATGCATCTTTTTCTAGAAAACAAACAAATCCAACAGTACAGCTAATTTCATGGGGCATATTAGGACTGGGGCGACAGTGGCTCAGTTGGTAGAGCCCACCATGAGACCTTCTCCACCGACTCCCACTGATGTCTGCTGTCGTTGTGTCCTTGGGCAAGACACTTGACCCCACTTTGCCTGAGGCCCCTGCTGAAAGCTCAAGGCTACGCCATAGAGCGGCCATCCTCCTGTGGACTCACCACCTGCAGGAGGATCAGTGAGGGGCTAGTGCTATCTGTACTGGGTGGCACCTCTGGCCGCCACCCCTGACCCAGAAATGGATCAAGGGGCAGAAGATGGATGGATGGCATATTAGGACTGTGCAAAACTAAAATAAATATGAATAAAAATGAAAGTCCATTTGAAGCACCTGATGTGGATACAGTTTTTGACTTTGGTTGGCCCACTCCCTTATGACTGTTTAGCAAAGAAAAGAACAGACTAAAGCTTAGCGCCTGATCTCCCATCTTTATCACTTTATGTGAGGCGCGTGGCTGTGGAAGCTATGGCTTTATTGCGGGGGGTTTATTGTTCCGTGGCTCTTTTATTCCCAGATGTGTGTTTATGTGATCGCGAGGACAGGCCAGTTTTGGTTATCATTTAAAGGACATAAAACTAACTCTTTTGAGATTTTAGCCGCGTGTTATTGTACCTTCGTCAAAAGTTTCTGCTCTCTGCTCTGTTACACGTTTTGAGGAAACTCAAACAAACAGTTCTTTTCTGTAACATTTCTCTACAGACACATTTCTGAAGAGGGAATAATGTTGTAACGTTTGTCAAAGCTTTTACATGTGTCCTTTTAAAGAAGAAAAATGCATTATTATTGGTCATTTAAATAATAAAAATCTACTTTTACTGCAATTTCCTGACTGTGGGACGAGTAAAGGATCTCTTAATCCTAATCTAAGAATGTGAAATAATATCTGAAACAATTGAAGGGTATAAAAATGCTTTCTGCCTGCAACTCCCAATGCTCCACTCCCACCAGAGGGAAGAGTGGAATTGTATTTCTTTTTTTTTCCAATCCACCCATCTATTTTCTTCCCCTTAATCCATTTCTGGGTCAGGGGGTGGCAGCCAGAGCTGCACCCAGTACACAGCACCAGCCCCTCACTGATCCACCTGCAGGTGGTAAGTCCACAGGAGGATGGCTGCTCTGTCGGTGAGAGCACAGCCCTGATCTTTCAGCGGGGGCTTCAGGCAAAATAGAGTGTCTTGCCCAAGGACCCAACAACAGCAGACATCAGTGGAAGTCGGTAGAGAAAGTCTTGTGGTGGGATTGAACCACGACATTCAGGCTCAAAGGCCAATGTTCCTCCAACTGAGCTACTGTTGCCCCATTTTTTTACAAATTAGAAAATGAGCGGCAGCCAAGCCAGAGGAATGTTTATAAAGAACATAATTTCACCTGAGAAACTAATGAGAAACTAAAAACTAATTTGTGTGCCACATTTTTATTTTGAAAGTCAAAAAACAGCTCTGAGCGTGACATCACAGCGGTACAATGACTCTTACATGAAACAAGACCTTGTTAGACAGAAGCGGCGGACGTACACCTTTGTGTCAGATGTTCCTTATATTAGCGTGGATGGATCTAAACACAACTCCAGGTCTGTTTTTTGATGATGAAAAGCTCGCAAAGCCTGACTTGCATGATGCGTCTCCATCAAAGAAGCCTCTCCCACCACTCAGACGAGACACTACTCCTGATGCATTTGCTCCAAGAACATCTGAGCACACTTACATCTGCCTTCCACAGATCTGTCCTCGCAAAAGGACACACGAGGTTCTAAAACGTCTGCTCTTATTACTTTTTTCCCCCCTCCTCGCACAATTACCGCAAATAAGTCCCATTTTCTAGCGCGCCTTCTCTCCATCCGTTTCATTCCATTCATCCGTTCACCCAGCACAGCTTGTTCTACCGTAAAAGACAGGCGCGGAGGGAGGCGACTGGTGGGAGGCTGGGTGAGTTTAAAAGCACCCCCCTTCCCCCCCATTGCATGCCTCCCTCTCGTCTCTCTCTGGGTATAGCACGCTCTCTGAAGTGCAGTCACCCACCACCGTGTTTGTTAACGTAACGCGTCTCCCGAGCCCGGCGCTAATGCGGAGACTGTTGGTACAGAGGCGGTCTGCGGTTATGAGCGAAAGAGAGCCTTTAGTCAAAGTGGTTAAGTGTGTCTGTGGGAGCGTGAGCCTGTTTTGCTTGTCATTTTATACTACGTAAAAGTAACTCTTTGGAGCCGTGCTATGATATTAAAAACACTTCTGGTTTTTTTTTTTTAGCTTCATCTAGGGCTGGGCAATAAATCAAATTTGGGCAATTAATCGGCTTTTGAAAAAATTGATCGAGTTCCAGCAGCTCAAAAATTATATTTGCAATTACAGGACACAGTCTGTACAAGACTTTTATAATATGTATTGGGGGAAACAAATTAAAAATAGTTTTGAAACTTGAATATTGAGTGGAAAGATCAAAACATATTTTTACAGGCAAAGTCTGTCTTCGGTGACTTTAATGAAAATCAATTCCATCCATCTTCTTCCCCTTAATCCATTTCTGGGTCAGGGGGGTGGCAGTCAGAGCTGCACCCAGTCACAGAGCACCAGCCCCTCACTGATCCTCCTGCAGGTGGTGAGTCCACAGGAGCATGAAAATCAATTAAAAATCAAAATCGTCCAAAGCTGTAAGTAAAATCGAGATTTTACTTTTTTGCCATATCGCCCAGCCCTAGCTTCATCACTATCTGGTCCAAAAAAGTAATATTTAGTTACCGTAATTTCCAGACTGTAAGCCAGTTCTTTGATCCCTGCGGCTTATATAGCAATGTGGCTAATATGTGTATTGTGTGTTTACTGTGGTAGAGTTGTCAGGGCAGAGTTTGTGGATTTATTTATTGTTAAATAGAACAGTTAAACACCTTGTTATTGAATCATGTCGTAATAACTTGTAACAATCCTATCTGCTACATTACAACATGAAAAACTGTTTTAAGTGCCGATTATTTGTGGACAACATTTTCTTTCTGATAAAATGTTACGGGCGCAGCTTAAACACAATAAAGCCTTAACAGCTAAAATGCTACATTTATCTCCAATACCGTTATAATATTTAGCCCCAATATATTCCATGATCCATCATTTGTTGAATGATGCATCGATGTAGTAACTGCCATGAACTCTTTGTCCAGTTCTTATTTGCAAAGATAACCACTCGAGCCTTTTTCACACATGGTAAACCGAGGTTGTTATTAAATGTGCTTTTCAAATGAACAATGATGGATGAACTCGAGCTGTAATTATAACTTTTGCAATTGATGTATTGACTTGTTCGAGGCTTGTGGGTAATTAGGTTTTCTCAAACAAACTTCAGGTGCATAGAATAAGTATCTGTTCCCTTAAACATCATAACGCATCTATAATTCATCCCATTAGTCCGTGAATGGGGAGCCGTGTTCTCTTCATAAACACTGGCTTGTAAATAATAAATGCTGGCAGGATGTGTGCGTCTCACCTCTGTGTGTTTGCGGTTGGAGCCGGGCCCCCGGGAGCCTGTGGAGCCTCTGGACGAAGAGCTTCCCGTGGTCGAACAGTTACCGGACATCTGATTCCGAGAGAGATATCCGCTTTTACTGCCGTACGGAATAATCTCGTCATCTGGAGGGAGACAGCCAAAGAGAACAAGGTGAGCGCTGCGTGGGGATGAAGATGAAGGAAGAAGTAGTGCTCCTCAAAGTTATGTAAAATGTATACCTAAAGTTTAAACTTACTTTTAAATTCATTATAATGGTCTGTCATATCAAACTGTACTTGTAATCACTCATCTTATCAAGAAAATATGCAAATTATAAGAATTATGGACAAAATATGTATCAAGCACCACTATTCCTGGTGAAGGATGAATACAGGTGTTATGGATGTTTTAAAGAACACATTTTATACATACTTTGTAGCCGTTAAAAAAATATGATTCACTTGATAATGAATTGAAAAAATATGGTGAAACAAGTATGATTGATGAATAATACAGCAACCAGAGGGAAGAGTGGAATTTGCGATTTTTTTCTTTTAGATTTCTGAAATTTGAAAATTACCAGCTGCAAACACAGCCATGTCACCTGAGACTGACTTTATGAGCAATGGGCTATATGCACAGGGAGGCGTGACGTCATTTCCATTTAACGCAGATCAGCCCGTTCACTTCCTGCCTATGCTATTGCTATGGCTTTTAGGTGGTTTTTAGGGACTTTTTTAGTAATTAGATTGATACATTCAGCTGTGAGACTGACCAAAAAGTGTTGCTGTGCTTTCTCTCTGAGGTAGTGCTTTGACTGTGACCACTCGGAGAGATTAGTTAACTTTATAAAAACACAATGACAGCACAATCAAAGAGCACTGCTGCGTCCCAAAAATACCCAGTATCCTCACAGTTTAATTCCCGTTTGAGCATTTGGGAAACTCAGTGAAACTCAAGCCGTTCCCCGCGCACAGGAAGTGAAGTTGTGTTGTAGCTAAAATACGGAAGTGGTGCGTGCATAGAGCCCATACTTTTGTTTTAAAATGTGTGTGATGTCTTGGTGGTTCAATGACGATAAGAGAAGAGGCAGAGGTACATGTTTGTGCCAGAAGTTCCTGATATTAGAGACGTGAGGGCGGCCATTTTGAAAAAGAGATTAACTTTGGTAAACTTTTTGTGTGTTTTAAGTACTACTACTGTAAACCAGCTAAGAATTGTGACAAATCATAAATGCATCCGCCTATTAATTTCACATGATTTTGAAGAATGTCATGTTTTTGAAATAGATGGACTGGACAATAAGTACTGTACTTTAACTTACCACCAAACATACTGCACTTAACGCTTTATTGCACAAAGCAGCCTCTTTGGACCGATATTCTTACTATAAACCTCAGCGCGTACAGTGCAACCATAAAAGTGCATCAGATAACTGGATTACTCCTATGATTTATAAAAAGTAATTTTCTTGGGTCAGATTTTATTTTCCCCATTACCTTGTCTGGAGCCTTTCCTTTGGTGACTTCCGTGCTCACTTCTCTCCAAAGAGGACAAGGCGCCGTTGGCCAAATTGGACGTCTCCGCACAGCTCTGCAACCGCACCTCTGCAGGCGGGGGCTCAGGGGGAGGGGGCAGGTCTGCAAGAAAAGTACATGTGTATTATAGTTTCACTGTGTTGATTGGACTTTGAAACTCACTAAAACATGTCCAAATCCACACACAGGCTTCTGTGAATAACAATCATGTTCATTTGTCTTGTGTTGTGTGCTCCTCATTCCTACAGATCTGTAACCGGTGACTCAACACTGATATTTCCCCACTGTGAGACGAATAAAGGATGTGAGCCCCAACGAGTAATGCCAGTGCGAAGCAATGGCCAAGAGGGACACTGCCCATCCTCTATCACAGGGGTGTCAAACTCATGTTGGTCAGGGGCCAAATGAGAGAAAAAAGACATTTCATTTTCTTATAATGGGTTGTTACATTATGAAGGCAATTGGACATGACTTTTATTTGACATCAATTTCACTATTATTTAAAAAAAAAAATCTGCAAACAAAATGTGTGGTATGGATTTGACAAAACTGAACAAAATATAAAGTTGAACACATTGTTCTATATGTAACTATTTCATATCTAAAGATGTGTTGGGTTAACAATTTGAATATAATAAATGTAAGAAACTAGAGAAAGGTTGTATAATGTGCCTTGGAAGACCATTACCATTATGCTGCAAGTAAATAGAAATACATGAAAATGACTTTAGGGGCCACTCAGGCAGAGTTTGACAGACCTGCTCTATCGGATGGCCAGTGTCGGAATGCTTTGGTGTAACCCAGACCAGCTGCTCTTGTGTATGTGGTGGAGACACTCTGCAGAGCTCAATAACTAACTGAAATACCTGAACATTTGCAATAAATAAACACAAATTAAAACATGTTATAATGTTAAATCATCCTAATTATGCATCTGGGGTGTTATATTCAGAAGAACGTTTTGTATCGCATCCATCAAATAAGAGTCAAATGAGCATTTGGCGTGGGCACAGAGACTTGAAGTTTGACTAGTGAATATGTAGTAGTTGACACCTTCCGTGGCAGATTGGAGGTCACAGATGGTGCAGTCATTATCATGTATTTATCGTGTGTTTACTTAGTCTCTGCTTTGCTCATTTATATGCACTTTGTTTTACGATACAATTATAACTCACCTCCTTGTAAATCTCGCCTGTATCCCGTCGCTTTGGAGCTCTTTTTCTTCACTTTGGATTTCTGACTTGAGGGAGAGCATGCGTCTGCGGGGGACCGGCAGTGGACTGAGCAGAGGAAAATGAAAGTGGTTAGGAAACAGCCGTTTATTCAAGATTTTATACCATTCTAAGTGGTTACAGACAATAACAACACATGTGTAGAAGTATTGACAACCGAATCATCAACTTTGTAAAAAACAAAACACAGTGGGTTTCACATTAAAAATACAAAATGGAGCCAAGTTAAAATGTGTATGGCAGTTTTTGGGGTTTTCCACATCAATTTGATGAAAATTACTTTAGTATCACATCAACCAAACCAAGCGCTGCGATCGCAAAAGGCCAGACCTCTGCTGGTTTATACATTTTAAAAAGTCACAATTGTGTAATCGGGTCCTCAACCACTGAAGCGGACAGTCTCTTTAATTCAACATATGGTTTGGTAGGTGAGACTGAGGTAAGACTTAGAAATACAATCTTAGCCGTCTAAAAACACAGTTTGTCAGTGAAGCTGCATATGGAGCCACTTTGCTGGGAGAAGCATGGTAACAGCACTGTCTTCAGCTGTAGTCTGTTCATTGCTATTCACCCGCTATCCTATTTTCTGTTTCATGGCTTGATGATGGGACCCCTGAATCTGGCCTCTTTCATCTGCACCTGTGGACTGTCTCCCCTGGCTCAGATTTGTGGGTTGCACCCCCCTCCCCACTTGGAAGCCGCTTCAGTCCTGCACCGTGTGGCCTCGTTCTACGGCAGATGTAACGTTAGACGTCTTACCGGGAGTGCTCGCGGCACTGCTGTCGTCGGTTTGTCCCGCCCCCAGGCTGTTAAAGTTGCGATGGGCGGGGCTTGGGCAGGGCAGTGTGCCAGCCTCGGTTATGGCGAGGTGGGCGGGGCCACAGAGGTTGGGGTTGGACTGGGTGAGGGCTGTAGGGGCAGGCACTGGACTGCAGGGCAACCGTCTGCTGTGAGACAAACACAGATACTTATTGAAATAGACTATAGTGTAGAGAAAGAAGTTTATCTCAACTCCAAAATGTGAATTGAAAACACACAAATGTCACTTAAACGTTCAATAACTTAAGCAAATTTAAAAAAAAGAACTATTATGCCACTCTATATGTGATGTCAGTGAGTCCATTAAATGTGCTCGTTCAAACAATAAGAACGCAGAACTCATTTGAAAGATTTCACTGCCAGTTAATCTTGTTTTTATGAGATATATTTGCATAAATTGTAAATTGTATTTTGTCAAAGACATAACTATAGAGAAATGGCAAAAGCTGGAGGTCTAATCTAATTGTTAACTTAGTTTTTCAGGGAAGTGATTATGTATTGTTAGCATTTCAGCACGTCTATTATCGCTGGCATTTTCACTGCAAATGCCACTGAATACATGCATTTTAAATCTGATAAAAGTTTGTGATTTGGGCAGCTCTTTGCTAATTGAAGCGTCATTTAGTGTGAAAAGTTTTCAACAATGTGTCACTTTATGCAAAATTCATAAAGCTATTTGGTTAGATGCCCTAATTACATTTAATTTTTCCAAAATTAAAGTTAGTCTGGTATTAAGACCAATTTATCAAAACTCTGAATGCTATTGGATGGAAAAACAGCTTCTGTGGCTTTGTCTCTATTATTATGAAGCAAGTTTAATTATTTTGGCAAAAGAAAAACCCTACAATTGAAGTTGGCACACTTAACGTTTTTTGTTTCATAAATAAATCTTGATGAAAAGGTCTTGTAAAAATAAAACAAACACATCAGACCCCGACATGCATTTCTGACAAGGATGTCAAAGAAAACCCAAGGTTGTTAGAAAAAGCCCTATTTGACTCTTTGGGTTATTGGCTGAGTGAAGGTTTTCTCTTTTTCAGTTCAGATCAGTTTTGATAGACAGAAAGTGAAAATAAAAAAACAATGTGATAGACCCAAACGCCAGGAACTCAGATTTGTTTCAGTGAATTGTTCCATATTTTTGCAGTGTGAAAGTTAGTAAATGAGGCACATACCGCGCTAGCTGCTGACTGTCGGGGGCGTTGAAGCGAGGTAAGTCGTGGGGCAGCCGTGGCTCCTCGTGGGGGGAAGGGGTCAGGGTGGCGGTGGACTGGTGGCTGTAGGAGGTGGCGGGGGAGGAGGCGTTGTTCCGGGGACAGGAGGGGTCCTCAGAGCCCTCCATCAGGTACGTCCTCTCTGGGAGCGGAGGGCACCACTCCTCCTCCTCGTCAGAACTGCAGGTGCCCAAAACGTACGGTCTGTTAGTGACATGAAGGATACAGCTTTTATCACAGGGCTTGTACTTTTTTCAGTGTGCTAAAAATACATACAAAAATGCTATCATATGAGTAATTTTGGGCTTCACAGCTAAATAAAAAACATTCCTGAATTTTTTTTTGCCTGTCGAAGTACGAGCTGCTGAAACGTCTCCACATCTGTAAATAAAATCCCAAGTTTGCAACTAAAGACATTTTATCAAAATTTTTATTTTATTTATTCTATTTTTTAAATCTAATATTCCATCAATTGTAACAAAAAACTTAAAAAGTAAAAATCATGGTTTTCATGTTATATGGACAACAAAACCAAGCGGTTTTCTGACAAATAAAACCCATCTCAATACAGATAAAGTATTTTTATATTTTAGATTTAGCATTTTGAGCTTTTGTCTTGTTGTTCATCGACTTGTGAGAGTACATTATAATGAAACGCCAAAAGAGTGAAGTTTTATTTGAATCAACTGGAATTTTACAGTAAAGTGTAGTTCCTCTTTTTTCCTCTTTTAGTATCTTGAATGTTAGTTTTACCATGTTACTAATGCTGCCAATGCCGTCTCTGTCGTTGGATTATTCAAAATTCACCACACTACAGCCTAAAAAACCTTAACATTACTTTCCTTCATGCATCCTCAAACTTCCTCCAAATGTTTATCCCTTCAAACGCCACACGCTGTCAAGATTAATGCTTCGTTCAAATTTCAAGCCACCGATGAGAGGGCCTTTGCCACAGGGCGAAATCTACAGGAGGCTAAGCTGCTACCTGTGCTTTTTCTTTGATTCTGAATAATAGTTTTGTTCTGGTAGTGTGAGCTGCGCGCTGCGACACGGCTAACTCTGCGCGAAGGCTCGGGAACGCGGCTAAATCACTAAAGCAATTGACCGAGGCCGCGGTAATTGAGTTGGTACACCCTCAAGACTTTAGGGTTCGATATTAAGCGTTGATTGTTATGGGAGGGCTGCATAAAATGGTCCGGCTTGCAATGTGATGCTAATTTATAGAGCGTACATTTATAAAGGGACTCACCCGATGTCCATTTCCTCGTGCTCTGAAGGCAGGTCGTCGGGGTCGCAGTGGTCCAGGTCTCCGGGGGGGGGAGGAGGGGGCAGCGACTCCATCCAAGTGAGGGACGGGGTTTTCACGGCTTTACCAATGGGCTTTTGCTTGGGTTTGCCTGAAGATGGGAGAAGAGCTTTAGAGAATTTTTTTGTTTTTGTAGAAATAATGTGAAAGAGGCTGAAAACATGTTGGTTTCTATTTTGGAAGCTGCACAATGATAATAAAGCCTGATTCAAAACAGACCTGACATTTTGGCGTTGCAAAATTTCAATATTTGAAATTAGGAAGTCCTAACTTTCTCTCCATCTGTCACTTCTTTCTTTGTCTTTTGTTATTTTATCATTAGTATTCACATGCTTGGCCACTAGCACACTAGCATTACAAATACTGTACATATGTAGCAGCTGAAGCGCAAACTATCAGTCATTGCTTGCAGGCCCTGTACTAAAATGTAAAGTATTTTGCATTTGAGTGGGTCTAAAGGGTCATTGCTTTTGATAATTAGCTTCACAACTTGAAAAATAATTGACATAGACATCCCCCGGGAAGTCTATGACAGAAAAGTTAGTATTTATGCTTTGATATTCAGGGTTCTCAGGTAGAGCCCTAAAACTTTTCAAGAAATGTAGGATTGGTAAAATAGAGAAAAGGAGACGATCGAAGAATAATGTAGGGAAACGTTTGTGTGAAGCCAGATTGCTGTGTGAACTGTGGACAAACAAGTAACATGTAATATCCTAAATATTAGATTTTTATGGTCATGGTGTGCAGCACGTATCTCTGTTATATCAGTCTTGTTCATAGTTTCCATGTCTGTGTTGGTGCGTCTTGAAATGACTTCTATGTGAAGATAAAAAGCCTTTTAGATCTGGCATCTTTCTGGAAAACTCAAAAAGACTTCCAGGGTGATTGTGACCTGCTCTTTCTCAAAAACATCTATTCTACTAGTTTAGAATAAAACATTTGTAACTCTACCTTGCATACCATTGCAGCGGTCCGGCTGGGCGTACTGCGAGGAGGGTCCCGGCTGTATGATCCAGTGCCCCTCCCCCGGTGTGCTCTCGCCGCTGTGAGGGGGAGGGGGCGGGGCCTGGCTCTGGCCGCTGAAGGGCATGATGGAGGTGGAGGCGTAGGGCGCGGTGGAGGCGTGCTGGGTGTAGTTGAAACAGTGCAGGTCCTCCGCGGTGGCGTCGATGGTGCTGTAGATGGGGCCTTCTGTGGAGCCGCCGATGCTGTACTTCTCCGTCTGGTTCAGGTAGTTGGAGATGCCGCTCTCTGTGGGGAGGAACGGGAGAGCTGCTGATGCGTGCCAGGATATAGTAAAGACATCGTCAAGTGTATTGTAACGGTACATTTCAGTCTCTAACAGAAGAATTGGATGTGAAAAGTGACTGATTTGTCTCCTATGTCGTAATAATCAAAGGGGATGATACTACAAGTGGATTAGGTACCTGCACCTGGCTTACTAAATGAGACAAGGCTTTATAAAATATATTATTGAAGTATTTGTAATCAAACAACCGTAATGCGTAACAAGATCTTGACTTGAGCTGTAAAAAAAATAAAACTATATTCACCAACCTTTAGGGATCAATACAACAAATAGATTTATATAATTACAGCCTTAATAATCATTATCACCATTGTTGTACATTTCTAATCTCAATATTAGAACATTATTTGCAGACATTATTTGCATTTATAGACATGGACCATTGTGTTCTGTGTTCAAACTGTTTGATTCTCTGGTCTGTTGTTGGTGAATTGACAAATTTATAAAGTCCTCCAAGACGACGACTGTTGTGATTCAGGGGTACACAAAAAAATCTATTGAATTGATTTGAATGAACTTAATAAAACGAGTGTGTCAAACATTTCTGCATAAACATTTATGAAAGAGCTATTCCACTTTCAACAGTTTGGTGGCACAGAGAATTTCTCCCTAGATCAGTAATGATTTTATAACACATTATGGTATTTTGTGTTAATAGCATACTGTGTCGGAGAATAATTACGTTGTCATTATATAAAAGATGCAGTTTGTAAAATGCTAAAGAAAGTCATTCTGAGTCAAACTTAAAACAGACAAATTGAGCAAGAATAGAGCTCTTTTGGGTGATTATGGTTTGTGTGAAGAGCTTTGTGGTTTTTATCTGCACAAAATAAGATGATATAGATGATTTCAAATCTACGAACATCACCATAACAAACAAACAAGTACGGTTCAATGAAGTATATAATTCCAATCCCCCACTACCCAATCAACACATTAGCATTCAATAAAAATATCATGTCCGTACATAACACCTGTACAGTAACACAATACATGACACTACCGCAGATGTATGAGACAACACACACTCAGACAAGACCCAGAACAGACCCAAACCCGTTCTGACCCTACACCTCACTCTCATTAATCCAACCATTTAAGATTACGCACTTATTACTTGTTACAGATCACCAGAACATAGATTATAAACAACACAATGATTACAAAAACATGGCAGTCTGCTGATGGTAAATAAGTCTTACCGTTGTAGTAGCGCTCGGCTGAGTTGTGGTTGGTGGTGCCGCAGTTCACCGCCTCTTTGCCGCTGTGGACCAGGTTGGTGGTGGGCCATGAGTCGGCCAGCCAGGGGTAGTTCCCCATCCCTCCTCCCATCACACCGGGCCTACAGAGACAGAAGAGATTTTGAATGTGTCGAAACTTTCTGTGTAAAGGTAATGGTTAAGAATTGTAAACTAAATATGTACTTTGTGACTCTGTGGTTCATTATTATGGCAAGGCAAGGCAAGTTTATTTATATAGCACAATTCATACGCAAGGCAATTCAAAGTGCTGAAGAAAATAAGAAAGCATCAAAATCATAAATAATCACAGAACATTAAAAAGGAAGATAAAAATATAAAATCCCTCAGTTGTATGCACAGCTAAACAGAACTGTCTTTAACCTGGTTTTAAACATTGTCAGAGAGGAGGCCTGTCTCACATCTTCAGGAAGACTGTTCCAGATTTTAGCAGCATGAATCTGAAAAGCAGCCTCCCCATGTTTAGTTCTGACTCTGGGCACTAACAGGAGTCCAGTCCCTGTGCTCCTCAGAGTCCGGGCTGGTTCATATGGGACTAACATGTCACTAATATATTTTGGTGCGAGGCCATGGAGAGACTTGTACACAAGCAGAGCTGTTTTAAAGTCTATTCTCTGAGCCACAGGAAGCCAGTGCAGGGACCTGAGGACTGGACTAATGTGGTCGTACTTCCTGGTTCTAGTTATGTTAAGTTCATATAAAAATAAAATTAGCAAGAAACTCAAGGAAAAAGAAAATACAGTGGTTGCGTTGAGAAAGAGGAGAAAAATTATAAACGTACCTAAAAACATGCAATATAACATAGCAAAAATGGCAAGGGAAACAGCCAGATGGTTAAAAGCTGTGAAAAGTCCATGTCGAACGTTATCTACGGTTTAAAACATATAAAGAAAACTGCAAGAAGATTGGAGAAGTGAAAGTATGAAAGCTTTATAACTACCTTCCATTGAGTCCTGATCCTTCGCCGTGAGGGAACCCAACTGGAGAACAGGACACAAAGGCGTGAGGAGGAGGACTGGCTAATGCATGTTTCATTTTCCCGACCTACTTAAGCTGCTCTTTGCTGTTAAATTCAAGGCTATTATTTAAAGGAATAGTTCACCGTTTTTACATACTGACATATGTTCTTACCTTACCTTAGACTAGTTAATACGTACCTGTGTGATCTTAGTCCGTGCGCTCTGTTATGCAAACGGAGCAAAAACGGGAGGACAAATGCAGCCTCCTCTGGTCACTGTGTAGCACCAAAAGGTAGCTCCCGCTAGAAGCTACCAAACTCTTCCAAGTGTTCCCTATTAAATGTATATAGTTACGTGACGTGTTACACTGCAAAGTATAGTAACACAGAAATGTAACTGTCGATTTTCTCAGCGGATAAAACGGGTACTATATTGTGAGGCGTAGTAATCTGAGGTGCGCTACGTCCGCGCACTAACTTCTCTCCGGAGACTTCTCTCTCGCTCACTTCCGTCAATAGAAGCAGCGTGACTTGTAATACGGAGAGAAGTTAGTGCGCGGACGTAGCGCACCTCAGATTACTACGCCTCACAATATAGTACCCGTTTTATCCGCTGAGAAAATCGACAGTTACATTTCTGTGTTACTATACTTTGCAGTGTAACACGTCACGTAACTATATACATTTAATAGGGAACACTTGGAAGAGTTTGGTAGCTTCTAGCGGGAGCTACCTTTTGGTGCTACACAGTGAGCAGAGGAGGCTGCATTTGTCCTCCCGTTTTTGCTCCGTTTGCATGACAGAGCGCACGGACTAAGATCACACAGGTACGTATTAACTAGTCTAAGGTAAGGTAAGAACATATGTCAGTATGTAAAAACGGTGAACTATTCCTTTAATGATCAGAATTTGGCTTTCATCCTTGCGAAAAGAATTAATTCCAAGACTGACTACGTTGATTCTTAAATGGTCCTTTCACGTCGTTGCATCGCTCGTGGAGTTTAATTTAAGTTAAAGTATTTCATATTTGATTTATAGTCGACCACTTTTTTCTGTTTTTGTTGGTGTTTTAAGTATAGACGCCCCTGTGGTTGAGTTGGTGGTTGGCAAGTGAGACATTATTTTTACGATCACAAAATCAATAGTAAAAATAATGAATATGTTTCTTAAAACATTATGAAGCGCATTCAATCGTCTTGCCTAAATATCCACAAAAACATATGGGTGAGCACTAATAAAACATAGATTTTATATATTCTTTTTTAGTGGATGATTTAAGTTTTCAAATGTTGTGATATTTCAATAGTTTGTCATAACAAATGGGTTGATATTTTGTAATAGACTTCAACACTTTGCAAACAGAAAATGCCCTGTTTTTAAATAATATTCATATTGTGGGCTAACTTATCTAGGCACGTGTCATATCTGTAAACTATTTTCAAAGATCCCCAGCTAACACTACATCCTCTTGAATATGTTGAAGTGTGTGTTGCCTGGCTACCTGCTGGAGTGTAGGCGAAGGAGGCAGTGTAGTGGCTCAGCTCCTTCCTCTTCTTGCGGCGGCAGTAGATCCACACGCTGAAGCCCATGAGGATGACCCAGCAGGCCCCCCCGATGCCTGCGATGAAGGCGGGCTGCTTGACCACGTCTGTGATCTGCTCGGCCAGGCTCACGCTGCCCTCCTCTGCGCTGTTGCTGCTGTCGCTCTTGTCTCCGCTCGAAGAAGGGTGCTCTGCCGGGAGTTCTGGAGAGAGAAGGTCAGCTTTCATTACAGCACTTGGGCAAGAGATCTGTTTCAAAAGATGTAAACTGACTGAAGTGATGAGTGGGCACATGTTCACTTGTTTGCTGGTTTTCATCTACAAATAGTTTGTTGTCACCACATGAAACAGAATTGTTCCAGTTAAAGTGAACCAGACCAACATGTGTGAATGAAGTTATGTAGAATAATGAATGCATAATGAATCTTGTACATAACTTCCAGTTGCTGAGAGTCGTCTCACAAATTAGTGTTACACAATAAAATACAAGCCTCTACAAGAAACTACGCTCAACATTTGACTGGAATAAATAAATAGGTTGCGTTCATGTTGCAGAATTTTCTTTAAGTTGGAGGGAAGGTTCCAACACAAGTCAATGGTAAAGAAGCAATTTTTGAAATAACTTGAAAAAGTAAATATTTATTTGATGGCGATTGCATTCAGAGAGCCAATATAATGTTATACGAGTGTCTCAAAGTCATTTCTACAGACCAACATTATATTATTTTTAGTTTCATGTGGATTGTTCTAGGAATGAAAGATAAGTTGGCTATAAACCAGGGGTGCCCAAAGTGGGGCCCGCGGGCCAAAGTTGGCCCGCCAGACCAGTTCAGTTGGCCCGCCAAACATTGCCCACCTCCGCTATAAGTTTCTATCTGCGTCCCTCATCCTCGCTGAACAAACAGTGACATGTCTGAGGTCGCGCGGGCGCATAGTCGCCCTCTGAATTCAGACTTCCAGTACTTAAGTGTTGTACTGAGATACACTCCTCACTCATGGTTCACATCAACTTGCACTAAAATGTTTTTTAAAATCAAACACATCTTTCAAAACAATTGGGTGCAAGGCCCCTTTATGTTCTTTTTTTATTACTATTATTATTTTTTGGAGCTATTTAATGTTTATCAAATTGAGAGGATTGTGCTGCCGAACTGCCACTCCCCCTCCTCACCGGAGGGAAATGGCGAGTGGAACTATTCACCTGCGCAATCCGCAGGTGAATAGTTCCAGTGTTAAAAAGGACGGACACAAACACTTCAGAGTCATGGATCTATTATATTGTTCAGAGTGAGTTCAAGCAGGACAAGCAGGGATCGCAGCGCACGATCCACACAAGTAGAAGCAACAAATACTGTGCAAAACAAATGTCAGAACTTACGCGGAGTTTTATGAGCCCTTTGGAGGAGCGGAAACACGGACTCTTAACAGTTACTTTGTTTTGATTGTTTATAAATGTTGTACTGTGTTTAGGCAAAACAAAACAAACTCTAGGAACAAATCATGGTTAACTAGTCTGATTTTGTTAGTTTAATATTCAGTTCACAACTAATTGAGAATACTTGTCCTATGTTAAAACAGAGTTAAAACCTGATCATGTTTAGAAAATGCAGTTAGCAATTATGTTCCCAAATTCATTACTTAATGTTAAAATGTATTAAAGTGTGCTAAAACCAGATCTATTGATCAGTGATGTCTCCCCTTTTTGATAAAAGCTAAGATAAAGTAATATGATTCAAATGTAGTTAAAAACTTTTGTTGAAAATAAATATATGAAAATAGACTTGGAAATTGCTTTGGCTCAGTGCAACAGAGATAATAAAAATAAAGAATAAAAAACACTTCTAAGGAATAAATTTAAATTTAAAATAGAGTTACAGTTACTATTTACAATATACAAGTGCACATGGTGCACACAAAATGTATGTTTCTGTTCTCTTTTTGAGGTTTTATTATATGATTTTACCCTAATAAGCCATGACAGAAAATCTCCCTCCTCTGGACCCTCATTACCCGGCCGGAATCTTTCCGTACTGTAGTCTCCTCAAACCTGCATATTTCCCTGGAGCCTCCACTTCACTGAGACTGTGTTGATTTCATTCATTCAGCTGTGATTTGCACTGATAGACAATAATTAATGCATTTAAAAGAACTTGATCAAATCTACATTTATTTGTGTTTCATGCATAATATTGGTGTATTTGGCCCACGGCCCACTGGCAAATTTTTACTTTGGCCCTTGGAAGCAAAAGGTTTGGGCACCCCTGGTTTAAACTAACCCAAGATGTCTGACCACAATGTTAAACTAAAGGATCTTTGGAAAGTTGTGGACACATGAATGCAACCTATTCATTATTTGTGTTCTAGATACTTTGTAATACGGTGCTCTTTTTACCCAGTTGGAAGTGTGTAGAGACAAGCACATCCGAATCTAAGGCATCAGGCAAAACCAGTACTAAATTCAAAATTCATTAAAAAAAAAAGATTTGTTTAATTTGCAGTATAACTATATTGGAATAAAGTCCCCAGTCTGCACCAGATGCTTCCAATTATTATTTTAGCCCGGAATTATTATTATTTTTTTTCATTTTTAAGTAGCTATAATGAATCCCTTATTCAGTTATAAACGTTTTTCACATGTTTAAATGAATAAGCCCACTCATACTACAAGGTGACTTCAAACCAGTGAAACCGTGTGTGAGTCTAGTCTACAACGTGAGTGACTTACTGAACATCACCGACACCGGCTGACTCCGCGTGCCCACCCCTGCTCCGGTCACTGCGGCCACCTCCACCTGGTACAGCACCCCTGGGAGCAGCCCCTTCAGCACGGCGCTCAGGCTGCTGCCGTCCACCGTGCGGTTTATGTGGAACCGGCTCTGGTTGTCGGCGCCACTGCCCACGCACCACACCTGACAGACACACAGCAGCACTTAGGGAAAATCTGAGCTGAAGACCCTGAACCTAATCTTCTTGTTCTGAAAAATTATGTGTAAATGTTTGATAAGAGTCGTCTGTGTTCTGTAACGGCAGAATGTTGCTCTGTGCTTCGATCGTTGTGAAAAGCTTAAGGATGTGATGTGAAAAAGTAAGGAATAACATGTGGAAATCAGAATTATTATTATGTAAAATGCAATAGATTGTATCAATGTGTATAAGGACTTTTACCCTGTGTGTGTGTGTGTGTGTGTGTGCCCGTGCGTGTGGGTCTCTCTCTCTCTGTGTGTGTGTCTGTAGCTCTCTCTCATTGTGTCTGTGTATGTGTCTCTCTCTTGTGTGTGTTGTTACTTTTCTACAGGTGTTTTTGAACGATTCTATTCTCGTTTTGTTGGCGCGAAGTTAGTGAGAAGGTTGGAAGTTTATAAACATCTGCTTCATCCAACCCCTTTTCAAAATATGTACAATGTATGTTTGTTTCTTGGGCTGTTACGCTTTTAACGCCTATACATCCAATAATAACACTCAGAGTGCCGCGGGTGTGAGATGCCGATGGGATGCGTGTGTGAGATGGCGACAGAACAGGTCTCTGCTCTTTCAAGTTAAAAAAGAATAGTCGCGTGACGGCGGCGCACTTGCTGTTGTTTGCTGTGAACTGAATGGGAGTTTGCATCCTCCGTGGACGCGGCAAACGGCGCCGCTGTAACGTGAAAGACCATCCATGCACGCACAGAACTACTCTCTGCTTGTTGTGTGTGTGTCTTTGCGTAAGTTGTGCGTAATACACTTATGAAGCTGAGCTATGGAGCCAGGAAGTGTCCGTGTCTCCTCCTGCTTCAAAACTACACTCGCTAAATTAAAGCTGGGGTACCTAGTTTTTTTCCACAGCCTTTATGAGACAGAAAAAAAAGAAAGAGGAGGCTTTAGCTGAAGCGGAATATGTCGAGCTGAAAAAATACTGTCAACTACAGGACAGAATGTTAATAATGTTAATGCCATTTTATGTGGATTTATTGTTATAATAAACAAATACAGTTCATATGTTCACTATGTTGTCATTTCTCTTTCCTTTCAAACAACCATTTACAGAAAAATATGGCATCATTTTGCTGATAGTTCAAAATGCGACAGCCCTAGTTTTTTTGTTTGGTGGATTTGTCTTGTTCTGAAATAAACATTTAGTTCGCTTGATTGAAAGACCTTAAGAGACCGTAGCATTTCCAAAGCACACTCATTAGAACTCAGCAGAGATTTGCATTGTGGAGCTCGGGTGAAATAAACTCAAAGCAAATAAATGAACACCAAGTATTTGTTGATGTAATAGTTTGTAGCTACAGTAGTTCACAAACGATGGTTTATATGCAAACATTTGATCATCAGATGAAACTCTGGCCATTCAATTATTAATAGTGTTGGCTTTTGATACGGCCCCCATTCGCCGGCGGATCCCACTGCAAATCAAAGCTGACACTGTGTTGTACCATATGGCGCCGCTGAGAGTTGGCGAGGTGGCGCGTGTGTCATAACTGCTTATCGTCATGTATCAGGTGAGTGAACCGGGCTCTCCGTGTTTACCCTGTACTCCTGGATGATCCCGTTCTGCCGGTCGCTAGGCGGGGGCTCCCAGGAGACGCTGATGCTGGAGCTGTTGCCGTGCTTCACTGTGGCCACGGTTACACCTCTGGGCGGGGCGCTGGGGACTGGAGACATGGATAAACACGGTCAGCGGGGGGAAACACGGCAGGTGGTGCTATTTGTGTTTTGAAATTTGACTTGGAACTTGCAAATGGAAAAAACAGATACGTCTAATCAGTTTTTTTTGAGGTATCTTTAAATAAATACTGTGGCCTCCCATGGAACAGAGAAAAAGTAGCTGTTGATGTGTACAAGAAATGTTCTCAAAGTTGGGGTACTGGCAGCACGTTAGCACATCGGTTAGCATTTGAGCTTCTGTGTGGAGTTTGCATGTTCTCCCTGAGTTTGCATAAGTTTTCTCCAGGTGCTCCGGTTTCCCCTACCACTAAAAACATGAGTGAGTGCATGGACGGTGATAGTTAGGGGCTATGATGCACCAATGTGTTGAGCTCCTGACATTACTGTGTGGGGAGTGAATGGGCAGAGCGTTATGTGACATATGTGCTATATAAATAAAGAATAAGCTTGGTAAACTAATTTTAGACAATGTTTTTATGTCCCAACAGAGCCTTGTAAAAGTGAAATACTGTGAACAATCGAGACCACAGCACGCTGTCTTCATCTTATCAGAAAAAATGCATACTTAAGAAATAGCCCTGTGAGTCACTATTTGACACTTAGAGCTGAGAGCTGATTGGCTGAGTGAGGGTGATGCTCACTGTTTCCTTTTTCTGTCTAATAAAGCTGATGTAAATATGACTGATACCAAAAAAGACACAACTGCTAGTTTGAAACTTTTTATGACATACATTTTGTTAATTATTTTGTGGTTTGAAAGAGAAGTACCCCAGTCTTAATGTGTTTAAAAAATTCTAATTAAAGAGCATTTATGGTCAGAGAAATTGGAGGTGTACTACTAAAATGGAAAATTCTTGCCAGGCTTCTGTGATGGAAAACTGAACTGTGGGTTGTAAATGTTTTGCTTATGAACTCATTGCGATTACAAGTTAGAGTGCGTGACAAAGAAATAATGCTCATTAATTAAAATAACCGTAATTTGTTTTCTTGGAAAGACAGGTGGGGATAAAGACAAAGGGACTCTGACCAAGTCTGAGCAATCAGAACCAGGGATGATTTCTTTAATTAAAATGCTGGAAAACTGCCTTCCAGCGGAGTGGGGCATTTTCTTTTTTCCCAGAGCATTGCAGCTACAGTATATTAACTTGAATATTAACACAAGGGCAAAATCTCAACTATAGGCTTTCAAATCATAAAGATTATCCAACTTTTGATGATAATTACGGTTATTGAACTAGGTCAAAATTCTTATGAAAGAGTTTCTTGATCCTATTTGCCAGAATCGTAGCATTATTAATACACACTAATGGAAAACATTCGCTGATACATAATCTGCAGAGCTGTTGCTTGTTTCAAATTAACACCTGAGTGCCTCCCATTCTTAAGATGGAAAAAAGTGTTTCATAAGCTAATTAATTTAGTGTGTGCTCCAACACTTCCGAATGCAGAACAGACAGCTTCCTTTGTTATTAATCTACAGTTGAGATCGATTGCTAAAAACCTGCTGACACCCCCAGGCGAAGCTGCATAATGAAAAGACAGATCGATATGAATGGACTCAAATCGGGAGGATATAAAATAAACCCCAAGATGAAATTGCATTACTCAGGAGCCCGCAGTGTCAGGAGGGCTAATGAATTGGAATTTAACAAGACGAGAATTGTCACACAAAATCACAAAGAGTTTGTGAAAATTCAATCCAATCTACCGAGCTGTAAAAAAACAAAGCTTCTCACCTTTGGACCATTCTCACTCTCTATATCTATTATATAATCTATGATATAATTTCAATCATACGTGGAGACTTTTTAATCATCTTGCCTCCAGTCCAACCGTGTTACAGTTAATCCCATTCTAATCAAGAATGCACTTATTCCAATTAATTACAAAGGGCTCGTTATGTCCTGTTAAACCTGGAATAAAACCACTTTATCAGATGGAGGATTACTAAAATTATTCACAGAAATAAATAGAAGACATTAAAGCAAATGTCTTAAACGTTTGTGTCGCTGTGTAGAAAATGTAATGGGTTCAGGAGCTGATGTAACAATTGCATGATAGTCACTTGTCATATCAAAATCAAAACCATATGAAGCTCCAGAAAAACGTATTAGTTTGATAGTTACCTTCTTCAGGCGTCCGGACCACCACTGTCCGACTGTCCTTGCCCTGGAATTCGTCAAAGTACGGCCGTATCTTGACTTCGTACTCGGTCCCTTTGAGCAGACTGGAGAGGACAATGTTGCGCTCCGACGGGGAGTTGATGTCCTGCAGGAGCCAGTTCCCTCCGATGGGGCGGTAGAAGAGCCGGTACCCCTGGACATACTGCGACTGCCTGTCCACCTGGAGGAATACAGGGCAAAGAAAATGTTACGCAGACCATCTATCTCAGTTATTACAGGCAATTCAGTTATTCCTCAAATAGATGGGATATTGCTTCTTTTGCTTTGAATAGTTTTCTAGCATATACTGTATATAAAATGCAAGTGGTTATGACAGAGAATTCTCAAGATACCAAAAATGCAACCTTTCATGACATCTCTCCTACCATATATCACCTTTTATTTATTACACCGTACTTTAATGCCACAGGTCACAATGTCAGCTGTGCGACAACATTCTACTTACGCTCCAAGCCACCCGCACGGAGGAGGTGGAGAGAATGGCGGGCTCTTGAAGCTGCACCGCCACTTCTCCTAATTCCCTCTGCACTTGTCTGTGATCCACTCCTTGCCCGGTTGGACTCACATCTAATAGAAAACACACATTAATATTGGAGAGATTGACCTCAGTACTTGTTTGATCTGATTTCTATTCGGAAATTCTGCTCACAACTTCCTCTCTGACCTTGCGTTCTCACTGGCTCTGATATGGGGCTCGGGTCGCTGAGGCCGTATGCGTTGACTGCTCGGACGATGAAAAGGTAGATTGTGTTGGGCAGAAGTCCAGTTATGGTGTGAGTTTCCATTTTGACATTGTCGGCGACGGTCTGCCATGTACTTCCGGCAGATTGGCTGTAACATAAAATAGAAAAAAAAGATTTAACAAGCCCGTCAGATGCAATGTTACTCTCATTTTTACTTCTTGACATCTACGTCACATCAAAATGAGCAAAGTGGGAGCTATGGATGTTGAAATTCACTTGGGACAAGGGGAATCCTAATTATATCTCTCTGTCAATGTGGAAAGACAGCATGTAATAGATAGAGCAAGTTAGGTGCTGGAGAAAAAGCGCTTTGCAATGCTGATTTAATGTGCTGCGCCTCCGTGCTGCTACACAATTAACTAATGCATACGGAGCTCCCCGGGCAGAAGCAGCCTCTATTTTGGGCTTTCATAAAATATGCGGTAAACAATAGCAGATGCACGGAAATTTGTGTTGTTTCTAGACTTTCAAATAGACGCTATCAAATGCAACACAATATGCTTATGAATAATGTAATCAAGCATGTTTAACTACGCAAATGCCATAAATAAGAATGGGGCAAGTTAGGAGCCTTGTGGTACGCCATAAAAATGCAGATTTTCCCGTTTTATTCGAAACAGTCATCCTTTCAGAGAATTTGTGTCACCTTGGCAGAGGCAATTCACAAAAGCCTTTGCAACCATTTGTTTGACACTTTTTATGTTATTTTCCCCCTCAAGGATACAGCGTTGGTCCCCATCTGCACAATTATGCTCAGAAAAATATGATTCCAAGATGCTTTTGGTTGTGGGTAAGCTCACAAAACTAAAATATACAAGATAAGAAATATGAGAAGTCACAAAAAATATATCCTCTTAATATTTAATTTAAGCTCATTATGGAGGTTGTTTTTGTAGACTCAGTAAAACAATGATCTATTATTGTACATGCACTTTTATTTATTTTTTCATCTTGATGTAAAGTTAAGTATCATGCTGAATGAATGCTGCTAAACAATTCAACTGGCATGAAAGGAAATTATTGTGGTAGCTCTATAAAAATTCCCAAACCAGTTGGCCCAGGTCTAAAAGTTAATCCCTGACCAGCTAATATTCTAAAGCGATGGTTTATACAAGGTATATGTAGCTCTATCGTTCAATTTTTGTATTTATTATTCAGTATTTGATGTCAACTAAAAAGAGATTTACAGGAAGAATTGCACTGCTCCTTCTTCTATTAAAATCAAAAAAAAACTTTGCAGGGGTCAAGGGTCTTTTGTTCCACCACGCGTGACATTTTGCCTGGCATTTACAGCTCCTCACATATCTGCTAGCTATAGTGGCAAATAAACTTTAACAAAATGCATGTATACCAAAGCCCCAACCCCTCTCCCTTCTCTTCCAAACAAACTTCTTCACCTCCGGCAAGGCAATGTTATTGAAAACATCCCAGCGGCACCACTCCTCCTTGCTCGCCCCAAGAATCAGTTTGTGTTACTCAGAAAGCTGCGCCGCCATGGGCCACACTGGGGCATTTGGATTGTGTTAAGCTCCACCGGCGTTCTCTCTCTATCCAATTGGAAGGACACATTTCCACTGTTAACGTAGCTTAATCTTGAAGGGTGGTATCATGTTTCAGCCAATCTAGCCACCAAATTAGGTTTAGGATAATTAATTCAAGGTAGTTGACTCAGAGGTGACTTACACGGAGGTGAACGAGAGGAATATAAAAAAATAAAAAACAAATCTGATTTTTGTTGGATTTTCTTTTGAATGAAGAGCTTAAAGCTAGTCTTACACGTTTAGTTTAATGATGTGCAGTGTGATTTTTTTGTAGCTACATTGGGTGAGCTGCCTTGGGACAACAGTCGCATTGTGCCGTATTTACACTGTGTTCACCGCTGTTCACCCATCAACATTGAGCATTGCAGTTTGGGCGGAAGCCAGATGTGAAGTGCCCAAATATATCAAAACAAACACCGCAATGCTGACAATGTACTGAAGCGCTGGGTGGATTTGTGGAAGGAAAAAGATGTTTTTGTGGTATTTTGTAACTGGACCGAAAAAATATGTTTATGGTCGTTGGGCTGTGGTGACGCTTTTATCAATCAGCCTGACATATCCTGGTTTACAGTCCATTAAAAATATCTGACTTTTCATAAAGAATACTTTTTGTTTGTCTGAACAGAGTCTGGTAAAAATAACATTTTGTGAAGAATGCAGACCACACCATGCTGAATTAGAAAACATTGTATATTTTGGTATATACAGTGTTGGAAAGAGCTTTGGCTGAGAGCTGATAGGGTGGTCCTCTAAATCTCAATTTTCTGTCTAGAAAAGCTGATGTATAGATGTGATTTTTGTGGTTTGTTTGAAAGTTAGGCACCCCAGCTTTAATAGGAAGACCTGCTTTAGTCCCAACTTCACATTTAAAGAAGACATATTACGGTTTGGTCAGCTATTCAGTAATAACCGATGACACTCATGGATTATATGATGCAAATTCATTCAATAAATTGCAGTGTCACCAACAACCTCCGACATAGCTGTAGACCACAATTGCTGTAAGCCATTTTTTTTTTTTTTCAGTGATAAATATTTTAAGATAAGCAGCAATGTAAGTAAAGCACAGTGGGCATTGTACCGTCGGTGAAAAGGGGATTGTCAGAGAAACGGTGCTTTGAATGCTGGAGAATAAAACATTATCACACACGCATGTATGAATCAATAATGTTTGCATGTCAATTACATTTTCTACCAACAAAGCCTCATGGAAAAACAATGGGACAGTTTCTATACTTACCGGTTTACAAATTCACATTGCATTAAAGGTTCATAGGAGGATTTTCTTCTTCCGGGTGGATCATCAAGACTATTGGACCTCCTAATTGCTAAAATCTGGAACAATCTTCCTGAAGATGTGAGACAGGCCTCCTCTCTGACAATGTTTAAAACCAGGTTAAATACAGTTCTGTTTAGCTGTGCATACAACCGAGGGATTTTATATTTGTATCTTTCTTTTTAATGTTCTGTGATTATTTATGATTTTAATGCTTTATTTAGTTCAGCACTTTGAATTGCCTTGTGTATGAATTGTGCTATATAAATAAACTTGCCTTGCCTTAATTGTCAATCAAGACCAGAGTGCGGTTCTTTCCTAATTTGGGCAAACCCTCCTATATACCTTTAAGACAGCAGATCTCAATGTTTGTTCTTATGTTTTTGTAAATACACAAACTCAATATAACAATGTGATTACAAACAAAAATGGGAGAAAAGAGAAAACATTATAGCGGTTTAAAAATCTCGACTACACAACTATTCTTTCCTCTTTACCTGAACGCCTCGATGATGTACGAAGTGACAGCCGCTCCACCCTCGTGCGCGTTGGGTTGCCAGGTCAGGCTGACACTATTCTTTGACACGTCCGTCACTATGGGTTTGTGCGGAGGGCCTGGCAACTGAAAAGGCTCTGTGGTTTGTGCTCCTGACGAATCTGCGCTCTCTGGAAATGATCAAATAGGAAGACGAAAAGGAAAGTTAGGGGGGAAAAAAGCCATAAAAGCATTGGCGGAGGTGTTGCATATTTGATTAACGCTTGCCTCTGGCGCTCGCCTTTTGTGCCATGTGGAGACAGTAATGTTGATTGAAAATTTGCATCAGACTAGCTCCGGGCGCTTCTATACAGCGTGCAGAAAACACCAGCGATAACTATTTCCATTCTAGCACTCAAATAAACCTCTACAGCTTTAATGCAGCTTGTAATGCCATTAATTCTTAATCTAACGCCGCTAATGAAACCTCGGCTGCTCGGAATATTTTATGTACTAATGCCTAATGGTTTGAGGAGAAAATAAAAAAAGGGACTTAGCCTTACATAACTGCAATTCAATTTACGGTTAGCTGTAGGGGCGGTGAGGCTAGGCCACAAATCACATATAGAGACTGCTAACATTAGGCTTAAAAGCAGTATTGATAAAAGGGTTTGGGCTTTGAGTTATTGTTCCAATCTGCCCGGTGACGGTCTGGTTTGTTAGAGCATTAGGGGTGCAACGGTTTGAAAAAATCACGGTTCGGTTCGTACCTCGGTTCAGAGGCCACGGTTCGGTTCATTTTTCGGTTCATTTTTCTAAAAAAAAGTTGTGTCTTTTTAATAAACACAGCTCATGTGGACTCAGCACCTGCTCTGACTGCCCCCACCTGCCCTAGAAATGAATTAAGGGGAAGGAAATGGATGGATGGATGGAAGGCATATTCTATCCATCCAATTATGTCTATTTAACATAATTAATGAAAAACCACACAAAGTGCAACATAAGAAGGCACTTTATGAGGATATTTACCCTCATATATTACACCACCTTCCTGATTCTCCCAAGGAGGGGGTCCATTCTGGGCCCAGCCTCATTCACTGCATTTATTTAATTTTTGGCATTATCAGTTGTGACTGGGATATTAGTACTGGGCCTTTGTCTTCCATTCCTCCGCTGCTTGTGTCAGTACCTGCGCTGTGTGACAGTGTGACTGTCGTAGAGGGGGCGTGTCTGCAGCGCCAGACTTCTCATCTCCCAGTCTGCGGTGATGAACTGAGCGGTTCCGCTCATGGATCTATTATAGGTTCCGCGGGACGTCCGAGCGTCAGTCGTGAGCGCAGCTGAGGATGCGCGGGAGAGTTGACTTTAGCCCGGTCTGACTGTGCGTAAAGGAGCTGCTTAAATGCCGCGGCAATAAGCGGTCGTTGAGACGCTTTTTTCACTCATGTCTTTCTTGTGCCACAGTGCTTACACATCGTGACAGTTTTCTCGAATATTAATTATCAGTGTAGTTACAGTGAAGCCAAAATGCTCTCATACTGGGGATTTAGATGACGCGGGGCTTTTAAGCATCTCCGTTCCTCCGCTCGCAATGACCGCGCTGTGTGTGGACTGAACAACGTGCGCACAACTTTTTTTTCATAAATCAAACCGCGGATCACGTCTGTACCGAACCGAAGACGTTGAACCGAACGGATCACGGATCAGTGATGAACCGTTGCACCTCTATAGAGCATGGGTTAACTGTGTTTGAATTAAGAAAATGGACAGGATAGAATTCTGAGCTTCCATATTATTAAACATTCCTATTATCTTTGAAACTCTTATTAATCTCCAAACTGCTAACTTTCCAAAATCTGTGAAATATGGAAGAGGAGAACAGTTTAAAGTTACAGACCACTTCATAAACTGTCTGCTTGATTGCATTGCTATTGTTTACCTCAGTTGCCGGGTAGATTGCATTGTAATTTACAGTTTATCGTAAATTACTTGCGCTAATCTACCCAGCAACAACTTACCCTGTTAGCTCAGAGGCTAACGGCATTGATTGAACTACTTTCTAATTAAATGGACACGAGGCAACAGCACATTCTTCTTTGTCATCTGTTAAAACACAGTAAGCTTTTTCACTCATGCACCTACGTTACTTTGTCTTAGATTTCTTTTAATATTACAAAAGTATCGTAGTACAATTTACGTTTTGAAAATAACATAATTATCATGCTTGAAAATACCTAAATTACATTCTTATTCCTTTTCTTAACCCATTTTGCAAAACCTTTTTTGCTTGAGAAGAAAAATATTTCGAAACTTGTCAAAGCATCTTGAAATTAGTAAAATAATTGAGATGAGGGGTTCCTTTTGGATCTGCGGGCCGTGTATGCTTACAATCAGTGAAGGAAAACCTAATCATGTTTTCCAAGTACAAAGTTATTCTGCAATGATTAAATGGTTGTTATTATTGTGCTTTCAGGGAAAAATAATCTCTTTTTTTTTCAGTCAAAATTCTAATATTCTCACTAATGTCAGCAGCCCCTCCTCCTCCACAGGACAAACTCTTTAGGCAAGTATCAGCACACCTGATCGAGCTCCATCCAATGAATGATACTAAACTGCACAAAAAAAGCAACTGTAATGAATTCCAGTCCATTTTAAGCGATGATAAAAAGCAGTTATTGCAGTATAATGTCTCTATGAATTTTAGAGACATTCATATCATTTCCCATTACACGCTTCCTCTTCACTTGCTGTCATTTGCATATGTTTAAAACCCCGCAGAGCGCATTTGTACCTTTCACAGTAAGCACCCCACTCCAGCTCGTCTCTCCGCTGGAACTGGAAGCCACGCAGGTGTACAAGCCAGAGTCCGTTTCCTAGCAACACAATCACACAAAGTTTTTGAGTTTGGGCAGCACACTTATGTTAATACACTAGTGTTAAGGTGAGAGGGACTGAAATGTTTGTGTGAAGAATATTGAGCAGCAGGAGTAGACGAGGAGGACAAGACCAAACAGGGACGGCTGAGAGCGAGAGCAAAAAGCAATTATCTGAGGGGAGGTGAGGTGACTCCGTTCACATCAACGTAAAAACATATTACTGAGGCGAACATTTGTGTCTGTAATAAATGATAATTTGGGGCTACTAAAGGCTCATGGAGTAGATACTATTTTTACGATGTTTTCACTCTTCTAGAATACAGTAGATGTAGAATGTAGTAGAACACGTTGTATTGACAATTTAGCTTCAATATTTGCAAACCTTCACCAGTCACATGGTGCGGGTATATTGCCCAGTGGCTCAACCACCGAATGCATTTCCAGGAATCTAAATCAATATCAATGCAGTATTTCAACTCCAGCGAGAAGAAAATAAAATTTTTGACCCATTCTAATTCTATTACATTCTATTGACTCGGTTCCTCGAGTTTGTTGCCAGCTTCAGGAAATGTAACTTTCTGAAGATTATGTATGTATGATGAAGCAGTTGATATAATGATTGAATGGAGCACTTTTTCAGTTTTTCAAAACACTTTTTACCTCTAAAGTGGTCACGAATAAGATTTTTGCTTGTTCTTTCACCTTATTTTGAGAATAAGCCTGATTCGCAACTAACTAAAGAATCTTTGAATGCCATTGGAAAAACAACCCTCATTTGGTTCTGTAAATGAATGATAATTGTTTCTACCATACTGCCTCTTGTCCAGGACTCCCATGAAAAAGTGGTTCTTAATCTCAATGTAATTTACCTGGTTAAATAAAATATAAAAAATACTCTTTACATTTTAATATTGTCGTATTTGAATGCATCTGTGCAATCGGATGTAACCAAGGTGTGCATACATTGCTAACAAAATGTGTAACTGTGTGTTTACTCAAGCCTGACCAGTTTAATAGCATAAATGTACATATCTGACAGCTTTCACAGTGACATGCAGCTAAAGTTTAAAGGAATATAGGAATAAGCGTGTCATTAGCATACTCCCTGACGCTAAAGTGACAGGTGCATTTAAATAACTCTGAATACTTAAAGCATATACCAGCTGCACTGCATTCCACATTCAACATTTTTGGAGCATTTTTGAAGAATCCGAGCTGATGTTTGCATGCCTGGAAGCTGCTCGTAGGCAAACTTATTAAGCCCGAACAATGTGACAAAATAAGGATTAGGGAAAACGCAGTGCTTCAAGGTTGGCGCAAAGGCATTTTTGATTCTGTTAACCGAGAAAGGCTCCGTATTTTGCTATTTACTGCGGGCGGAAGCTTTGTCGGTCCACAAATATTTGGATTTTTAATAAGCTCTTGTATTGTAAGAGACACAATAGCGTTTGCTTTAGAGAAAATATTTATACGTTTCAGAGTCAAAATGAGAAAAGTCAACATGGTGTATGGCTGAAAAAATATGAAGTGATTCCCTTGCCTCAATAAGTATTTGACACAGTAACATAATGAATTGTCACTAGTTTCACAGTCTTATTTCTGCACTGAACTCAAAGCTCCATATTGATATTACATTAACATTAAAACGATACACATTTTGAATATGCATTTAAATTATGTTTTGTGGAAAGTAAAAATGTTATAGATTACTCGGGTAATACAGATAAAAGCAGATTACTTAATTATTCAAATTATTTTTAGTGGGTAAAATGTCCTGACAATGCACCTATGCCATTACTGGTACAGAATATCCAATCCAGGATTGGTTCTGTGGTATCCGTTAGGCTGATATGTAGTTTTTGGCAAGACGAATACCAGTGGAAAACCTGATTGGAACCAGTTTTTCTATAATTTCTCTGTTGTGTTGCTAATTCAAGAGATGGATGCTATTTTCCATCCCTTTCAATGGTTTCCCGTAGAAGTATTGATATTGGCATCGGATCAAAAATTCAGATTGTTGCATCCATACTCAAAGTGCCGCAGGGAATCTGAAAACCATGACGGACTAATCAGTTTCGTGGCTTGTTTGGATTTACCCTTGAACAAAAGTCTCAGTTAATACAGGCATCAAATTAATTCCATGTCAATGATCAAGGCGCCTCTATCGACACAAATCCTTCATGCACCTTGAGTAAGCGGCTTTACTTTTATTTTTTTTATCAACAAGTGTGTATTTTAACAAGCGGCGCTTCAGCGGCGCTTCAGCGGGTACCTATCTGCAGTCAAGGCTGGACTCAAGCTGATGTCTTTTATGTTCCATGTCTGATTCCAGGGTGAAGTGCAAAGGCTTGGATCAAAGGACAGAATTTTAATAGCCGGGCTACATCCCTGGAGAAAAACTCAACCATTTTTCTTTATTTTTTTATACATCTAATCCTGACAGCCACTTAGCATTCTGCACAAGCAATGAGCACATGTAATTAAGAGGTGTGCGATAGATGTGTCGTGAGCATGTGTGAATCCTGGCTATTAACTTTTTTTTCTCTTTCTTTTTTTTTTGGGGGAAGAAGAAGGGGAGGCGAGCCAAAAGCTAGACGGGCTGTGAAATTGCTTACAACAGTGCGAGATGTTAGAGGTCTCTCCACTGGGGGATGATTCTGAACGTGACAGCGGAGTAGTAACAAGTTTGGGGAGGAGGAGAGCAGCCCGGGAGCGCTTCATGGCTCAGTGTGAGTTAGAATTATTTATTTCATTCCTTTCTGGCCACGGACAGATGGTCGCTAATAAATCCTGCAGAATAAACAGTGGGATGAAGTGGAAGCAGGAAAACAAGGGTGCGGTTTGAAGTTTTAAAAGGAAGGAAGGTAAATCACTAAATTGGCAATGCGATGTGAGTCAGATTTCTGTATTCTAAGCTAATAAAATCTGTAGTAAGGTAGGGCTGTATGATTTTATGATATTTGAAGTTAAAAAGTCTAATTTTATCTAATAGGAACTTCAACTTAGCATCCATATTACGTGATCCCCTTGCACACAATTCCCACACTTTTCAGAAAATGTAGAGTTTTAACCTATAGTATTTTTTCTGATGAGTAATATTTGTTCATATAGTGCATTTTTACAGACCAAAGTCACCCAAAGCGCTTTACAATGGTAGTGTGAAAAAAGATTTGTAGTGTGTAATCACAAATTTGTCTGAGTGAGTTGTGCAACACTTTTTATATATGTAAGTAAGTAATGTTTATTTATATAACACATTTTACAGACCAAGGTCACCCAAAGCGCTTTACAATGTTCATAGTTCAGATATTGTTCCAATCATTCTACACACGGTGATGACGGAAGCGAGTCGCCGAACACACTGGACCATCAGCTCCAATCAACACCATCCATTCACTCTCTCATTTACATTCATAGCTATTGTATATGTTTTTAGTGGTAGGGGAAACCAGAAACCTACGCAGACACGGGGAGAACATGCAAACTCCACTCAGAAAGGACCTGTTCCGACCGGGATTTGAACCCAGGACCTTCTTGCTGAGAAGCGAGAGTGCTATCCACTCAGCCACCGTGCCGCCATATATATAAGCTTAGAAAAAAGTGTTATTTCTCATTTATAATCAGAAAACATGGGGCGACACTAGCTCAGTTGGTAGAGCACTGGCCTTTGAGCCTGAAGGTTGTAGGTTCAAGCCCACCACGGGACCTTCTCCACCGACTCCCACTGATGACTGCTGTCGTTGTGTCCTTGGGCAAGACACTTAACCCTGCATTGCCTGAAACCCCCCGCTGAAAAATCAAGGCCGAATTGTCACTGACAGAGCAGCCGTCCTCCTGTGGACTCACCACCTGCAGAGGATCAGTGAGGGGCTGGTGCTAAGTGAATTGGGTGCAGCTCTGACTGCCACCCCCGCCGACCCAGAAATGGATTAAGGGGAAGAAGATAGAATGATGGATGGATGGATGAATCAGAAAACAATGCTTCTGCCTCACATCAAGACATCCAATATTGTTTTCCATTGACAAATCTTCAAAATTAGCGCTCATCAAAATCAAGTTTCTTTTTAGTTTGAAAAACACTTGATGTCTGTCTTCACAATTTGCTTATTGTGACCCAGGAAATTTTGCGATTTAGTTTTGATTGCGATGAATATTGTGTTTTTAATGGTGATTTTAGTGTTTTTTTATGTGATGATTTGTGCCTTTGTGTCGCCCTATGTAGGAAAAACGCTCTACTAATAAAGATTAATCGATTGAATTAAACAATAATTCGTAATGTTGAAGTTTGTTACTCCAAATTATGGCCCTGGAGCAACGTGCGGCCCAGATATCCATATTTGCTGACCTTCATATACTTACTTACCAAATATGATAAATTAGCATATTTTAATACACTTCAGGAATCTCTCATACCAAACCATTTACAACTTCTGTTTTTAGTAGTGATCTGTGTTATCAATCAATTGGTGGTTTGTTTCAACATTAAAACATATCCATCCTCCTTTATTTTGATTTGCAGTCCTTCATTACATAGACGTGGACCCTCTGCTTTTGGCCATGGGTGCGGATTGTTTTTTGCCATTCTAAAATTAGCAAGTGAATGAAAGGGAAAGTGCTCCACAGTTCTTCTACTCTTACTCGGTCGGAGTTGGCTCTCTAATATCTCAGCCCTGCTTGATGTAATCCCACGCTGTGTTTGGGCAAATTAAGTGTTATGATATTTCCCCCCAATACCACACGAAGTTATGATTCATATTCAGAGCCAACTCATTTTCTTAGCAAGCCATAATCTTTCATCTCTAACGGCCAAATTGGGCAGTGGACAACCAGATTAAGAACACTTAGCTTCTCTTGGGATAAACTGGGATACAACCGATTATTATCTCGACGTGATGTATACCAAGTGAAAGTAAAAGAGTACAGCATTCCAAGATATTATTTGACTTTGGTTCATTAATAAAGGTGGCTGAGTTTCATGTTTGTATCAGTTTTCTGGT